AATTTGCTTATTTTTAATATGTTCTCTAAATTAACCCTACCCGTCACGCTACCTTTTAAAGTCGGAGTTTTGATTTAAAAAAAAAAGTAGGCAGTCTAATTAGGCCTACACGAGTGCACAAGTAAAATTTTGTGAAGATAGCACTTATCGTTTTAATTCTGTGGATGTGCCCAAAGTGGCACCCTGATTGAATAGAGCTTCGAAAACAGTGCTGAAACGAGCAATGTTATCAATCAACTGACCGATGAGATGCAGAGAAACAAAGAATATAGACTCTCAGTTGTCCTAGATTATCGGTGAGCCCGGTCTGGGCACACCTAGGGTTCGCCGCTTGATTTTAGGCAAGATTTCAAGGTCAAAATTTAAAACTAATATAGAATAAGGAGATTAGCATACAGCCAAAAAATAACATAGAAATTTCTTTTCAAATAATTCCTTTTATAACCTAAAAAATCTGGAAGATTTCTTTGAAAAATCAAGGTCTTAAAAAACTAACATGGCTAAAATATATGAACTGGTTTGTGTTGAGCTGCCATAAGCTATAAATAAAAAAAGGTTCAGAGGAACCTATAGTAACCCATGAATACTTTTTCATTCAATTTTTCTGTGAGTACAGAAGGAAATATTTAGGCGTGTCCAGACCGGACACACTGTGCCGCAAAGGGTTAAATAAGAAAAAGGTGTAAAAAGGTTTATAAATAACAAAAACTTGAATAAAAGTAGTTTTTAATATTCATAACTGAAACTGAAGCTAAATAAAAAGCTGCATGCGTTTCTCTTAAAACTAATTTCCCCAGAGTAGAATCCCTTCCTTGTGGAGAACCCCTGTTTTAGTGCAATGCAGAGACATCGGAAGAGAATCCTGACTTGAAATAAGGTACTCGATTCGCTTTCTAATTTTAGCTGGAAATTATAAGGTTCCTACATAACACTGAGTACTTAAGACAAATGCCGTAAGGAATACAGTAGTGTATATTTAAAGTAGATACTTTGGAAGCCATCATAAAGAATCCTCTATATAATAAGGTACTTTTATAACATGCTGCAGAATAAAGTATAAATGGAAAAACGATAATATCACAAAAGTTTTAACTGAACTGCAAAATTTGTATGAAATTTGTAAGACATTGGGATTGACTCCAATTTGGAAAAGCAATTTTCATAAACAGTTCTCAACAATAGACTTACCAAAAACAGTTAATTATGGCAGGCACCAAACGTATATAATATATATATATATTTATTTATACGTTCGGTGCAGCCGATTGATTGCAAAATTCCGATTGCAACCAAAATACGAGGTGCACATCTACATGTTATATCAGTCCTATATATAAAATTTAAAAGTTCCGAGGCTACTATTTTTGAGTTATGCAAGATATGTATGTATGTACGTACGCACAGACGCCACAAAAAATTCTCTTTAGAATTTATTTTAAATCGGTTTTATATTTTTTTGGGGGGAGAAAGAGTCCTTTATTCTGTTCTTGCGTACAGATGTCACGCGAAAACATCATTAATTTGTATTCGATAGTGGTCAAAGTCGATATTTTCGTTGAAATATGATACCTGAAATTTTTCGCGATTGCTATTCTTCCTTTTTACTTCGTACAAGGATGTAAAATGCTGTTGCCCTATAAACTGAATGTGCTTTGTAAATTATACATACACTGGTGTGCAAAAAAAATTAAGGGAGAAGTCGAAAAATTAGCATATCAGCTGAACGAAGAGGCAGAGCGGACAGAAAGACCAATCAGGAGATTAAGTAAGGTGATGTACGGTAGCACATGCGCAGATATGCAGGTAGACGTAATGGGGGCAGTGTCTGAGTAGTATAAAGCATGTTGTCGGTGTAAGATCAGTATTTCTGGCAAAGAGATTGCACCCCGTAGGCAGTTAAAATCACACCGAGTTGCTGCCCTCAGCGAAATGGCGAATAATCAATCTGTTAGACGACATCTGGATGCTTTTAACCCGAGGTCGAATCATTGGAAATTGGAGGAAGGCTGCAGTGTGACAAGTGTGGCTGCAGAGTTCGGAATTGCTCACAGCATCGTTTCACGACTTTGGAGACAATTTCAAACTACAGGAACAGCTATCCGGGGTTTTAGTAGTGGTCGTCCACGAGAAACCACACCTGCAGATGACCAGTATATTGCCATACAGGTCAGAAGAATCAGGCGGCAGACAGCGGGAGAAATCGCTAGACACACGACACAGGCGACTGGACGACCGATATCGCGTTTTACCGTGGCCAGAAGACTGCACGGTGGTGGTCTGTTTGCACGACGCCCTGTACGGTGTGTACCTCTAACGCCTGCCCATCGGAGAATGCGTTCTCTGTGGCGCCGGGAACACTGGAATTGGAGAGACAATGAATGGGGACGAGTACTCTTTACAGATGAGAGCAGATTCAGTCTGAGTAGCGATTCTCATCGCATACTCATCTGGAGAGAGCGGGGAAGCCGCAATCATCCCTCGAACATCATTGAAAGGGACAGGTATGGAGGTGGCGGTATCATGCTTGGTAATCGTATAGACCTTCACATCTTCGACGCAGGTTCAGTCAACGGGACCCGTTATTGTAACGAGATTCTTCTTCCATATGTGCGTCTTTTTAGAGGCGCTATGGGTCCGCAGTTCCTTTTCATAGACGACAATGCACCATGTCATCGCACAGTAGCTGCCGAACAGCTCTTAGAGAGTGAGGATATTGAACGTATGGATTGGCCGGCACGATCTCCGGATCTCAATCCCATCGAGCATGTATGGGATTTTCTAGGCAGACGCTTGGCAGCTCGTACCTACAAAGTATCGCACCAGTTTTTTAGTGATTTTAAATGTTTAAATGTTTTAAATTTTAACGTTCCCGACACGTTTGTGAAGCACTTGCACTGAACGTTCTTGTGCTAGTTGTGTTTTGCTTACAGATTTTAAATGTCTCTAATATGTAAAAATAATTTAATGACTGGGAATGTATGCTTCGTATTGGGTTCGAACCCAGGTGAGTGGGCTGGGTCCATGGTTGGTTTTCCATAGTTTCCTGATATGTAATATGAATATAAGCCGATTTCTCTTAGAAAGTCCTCCACGAAGGCATCTTATTCCAGATAGCCTTGGAGAGCTTTGCATATTCCAGTAATCATTTAAATAGGCTTTAAATTGAAATGTAATAGCTTGTACAATCAATTTCCCTGCCAACCATATTGTCTGCGTTAGCAATCATTCTCGGAAATTTATAATTTAATGAAAGCTGGAAAAATTCGATTTAATGGAAGAAACTTGCAAATATATGTTCATACATATATATATATATATATACACTTGCATTGAGTATATCTATCCCTCATACTGAAAGCAAGCAAAATTGAGAGATACCAACAGAGATGAATAATTCTGCACATACAATGACTTGCGAAAGCGGTAGACCATGAAACACATGGATTATCTCAACTATGTAGTACATGTTTAGAAGGTATAATGCAGTTCACATTGTTTTATTTCATTACTTCCTTAACTTCATACTATCGTTCTTGTCCCACAAAATTAAAATAATAACTTGATTAAATATGTTACTAACATCAACTAATGCTGTGAAATCTAAAATTTAACTCTGGTAGCTATGCATACTAAACAAATGCTGCCACTTACTAGCACTTTTGCCTGCCAGAACTTTGCAAATTTAATTTTTAAATTAACCAGATATTATATGATTCGTCTTTACTATAATGTTTACATTTCGCATGCCTAACCAGAATGCAAATGTGTAGCCAGTATTTAAAGTAAGATTTATTTTTGGATTTTAAGGCGGAACTTATTATATTTCTGGTTTCGCGTGTTAGTTTCCTGCGTTCTCGTTTCTGGCTACGTGTTAGTTTCCTGCCTTCTCGGATAGCTGTAATTTTTCGGCTATGCAATCTGTCGCTGCCGACACTTTGATGCTCCGTTTGAGCCACCACCTAGTAATATTCAATTATGTAGTCTCTCACTACTTTGACTTTTCTGTTTTAATTGCATCACCACACGCTGTGGCTGCCATCGTTGCACAAGAACGTGCCTTTGTGTTCAAATTCTGCTTAAATAAAAATGGGTATTTAAATCTTTTCAAAACTTTGCCCTTGTTTCAGACATAATGATAATTCTCTTCACATATGTCACCGTTTTTGGAAGGATTAACATATAAGGTATTTTCTCCCTCTCTTCAGCATGCCTTAGTGGTGTAACGCTCGGGTCATATTCGAGAGGTCTAGGTTGGAGACTCGGTGAGGGCATTGCTAATTTTTCTCATCTCCTGCTTAGAAAAACTTAATGTCTCTACAGTGGCGCCCGAACTAAAAGGTGGTGGATGATGATTCTTTACCACCAGGATTTGGCTTCCCTAATCCCCAGTCGCCATTTAAAAGGGGGAGTATATCAGGTATTTTTTCCCTCTCTTCAGCATGCCGTTGTGGTGTAACGGTTAGCACACTAGGCGCGTATTCGAGAGGTCCAGGCTCGAGTCTGGGCGAGGGGCATTGCACATGTTTCACGTTTCCCGCTTCAAAAACAACCTAATGACTGTACAAACATTAACAGATCAAGTAAGACTCTACAAGTGGCGACCGAACTAAAACGTGATAGACGATAATTCTTCACTACCGACTGGCCGACTGGATCTCCTCATATCCAGTTGCCCTATAGGAGAAGCACATAAGGTATTTTCTTCCTTCTTTTAGCATGCCTTTGTGGTGCAACTAGAATCACGTCCGACGCGTAATTGGGAGGTTTGGAGTTCGAATTCGGTGTTAGAATTCACATTCTTCACGTCTTCTGCATCGAAAGAAACCTAATATAATCACTTCATTCTTTGCTATCTGACGTAGTTTGCTCTTAGAAATATATTCTGTAAGTTTGAATTAGGTTAATGGAAAGTAATTTTTCTGCTTGTCTGAACACTAGCAGATCTTATTTGTTTTTCAATTTTTTCAAACAGTTTTCTAAGTTACTTTTTTTTATTTTAGAAAGAAGAGCACCAAGACCGTATTTGAGAGACTGTAAAAACAGAACTTTGATTGCAACACGAAGAGGAACTGTAAAATTGAAGTCCCCACGATTTGTTGTCACAAGAAGTAAGAATTCAGCTAAAACTTTTCTTCATGCAAATTGTACATACAGCGGCGAGATAGTTCCTGGAACTTACATCAACCTCTGCTCAGCTTATGATGAAGCCACTAATAGCACTGGTTCATGCTCATATTCAGTAACTGTGAAAGGTTAGTACTGCTTTACACATGAAACTCGCTTTACAAAATTATATAAATAAATGAAAGTATAATGAAACTCTGAAACAGTTTTAATACATTACAACAATTTAAAGCAACAAGTAGTAACTTTAAGATAAGCACACCTCAAAATCTGAATTTTTTTATTCAACGCGAATAACCTATTAAGCGTATACTATAACGGTGTGGTGCTGCCATCTACTAGCAGATGTTGGAACAACAATTTAAAAACTAAATATTTTACTGTATAAGTTTAATAATGTTAAATCAAATAGGGAAATTTTAGAAACGTTTGCAGTTGACTAAATAATTATTAATGGTATATCTTATAATCGGAAACTTCTGTTAATTATTACATTTAATAATTATTACAATTAATGAAATTTATCTATTAAATATACGAAATTGATTATTCTTTACTAATATATTAGAGTTATATATTTTGTATAAATTGTTAACAGATTAATAAGGAATTATAAGGTGCTTTATTATAAATTGAATATAAGAAGGCATTTATGAGATATAAAAAAATTGAAACCTAAGAAATTTGAAGATATTAATAACGTAAATATATTTCGAAATATGAGCGCATTTTTCTTGTTAGTAGCTGTATTAAAATAAAAATCAATAAAATAGGCTCAGAAGGAATACTTTTTATGTTAAGAATTACAGTTAATGATATTTTCAGGAAATAACTAAAGCTATAATATACTGGTAGTTTTTTCTCAGGCAGTTCTTTAAGAAATCTTGCATGAAAACAGTCCTTCTTGCTAGGAAACAGCAATTGTATGCATAAAAATGCCCAATCCTTAATGCAGAAATTACCTTGAATCCTTCACCTGAATTGCGAGATAATTTTTTAATAATATAGCTATAAATTTCTAGACAAATCAAACTGCATACCATTATACTCAGATTTTAGGTTAATTATTGAAAATAACTGAACTTTAATGCGTGTTTTCATTAAAATTTGAAAAGAAAAAAAGAATCCTTGTTATATATCTTTTGCGGACGAGTAGCTAACAAAAAACATGTAAGGAAAGTATTATTACTGCTCGTGAATTTTTTTATGCTTTCCTGTAAATTGATTATTAATTTATAAAATTTGAAGTTAATAAATATTTTTTAATATTTTAGAAAGATCTTGTCAACCATTACCTGTGATTCCTCACGCTTCACTTGACTGTGATCTTCAACTGAACGGATTATATTCTCCACGCACAACATGTAAATATGTTTGTGAAGAAGGCTTTACTATCCCTAAGAGCCAAAGAAGGAGGCGTGTCAGGCGGTGTACCTCAAAACTCGTTTGGAAGCCAATTATGGAACCATCTTGCAAAAGTATGCTGCTAGTTATTTCATTATTGTGAAGTCATTATTTAATGGTGGCAGAATTTCCATAAACGTTTGCTGTTTCCAAATATGCTTACGTAATTAAGACACAATAAGACGCCGAGCAAGTATTCATTTGGAAGTCAAACAACAAAAATCAGCGTTAAATTGAAAATATAACGCTGATTTTTGTTGTTTGACTTCCAAAACAATTCTTACATATTTGCACGTGATGAAATAGCAGTGATCAATATAAATGCAAGCCCGTAAGAATTTTCCCTCAAGATATGTCATGTCGATCTTGATTTATTTTGGCACATTTTGGCATTGAAGGTTGCCGCCTGTGTTATGTAGTTCCACCAACTAGGATACCTCACATAATAAGAAATCACAGTTAAATATGTTTGCTGCCTGTGCTCATACAATTACAGAAACATAGAAACTAAATATCATCTCCACGTTGTAAACTCAAAATCCAAAACTACGAGACAAATACCAGCAATACAGAGTATGCACTGTAGAAATATTCTGTAGCAGGCAAAAGAGATAACTGGTATACTGAAAACATGAACTGCATATACACAGATATATGGATGTTAATACAGCATAACCGATTCATTCAATTTGAAAAGGTTCTGGTTTCAAAGTATTTCGCGTACACACATGAGAAATATATGAAAACAACCACAAACTCAACAAGTTAACTTGTTCACCAAGTTTCACCAAGTTTTCCGGATTTCGTCCTTCAAAACTTCCTGCATGTTGATGCAAAAATATAATTGGCGGACATAATCCTCCGGGTTTAATTGTTGCAGGAGATACACATGGTACGCTTTAAAGTGCAAACGTTGATGCAAAATCTTCCACACAGTATTTTTTTTTTTTTTTTTTTTTTTTTTTTTTTGTGTGTGTGTGTGTGTGTGTAATATTCCAAATATCTGCTCAATTGACAAGACGAACATATGCACACCAATGCTACAAAATCTATATAATGAGCTCGATTATCGTCTGGACGTGTGTCGTGTCACCGAAAAGTCACATACTGAAATTGTGTAACACTTGATGAGTTTGTGGTTCCTTTCATGTGTGTATGTGAAATATTTTTTAAAATATGGCCTTTTCAAAACGAATCATTTATGCTAACCCTGTATTATTTGTAAAAGTAAAAAAATTCAAGCATATCAAACAGACATATGTTGATAAATACATTTGTTTCCAGATTCATTAATAGAACCATATGCATTCAAATCTACCACTTACTATAATTAATGTTCATTACGTAGGTGACGATTAACACGATTGCATTTGTCAAGGAGGATTTTGGTAACATTAATCCAATGATAACATTTAAGTGATGAGAAAAATATCGTTCAAAATATCAATAGAAGTTAACTAATTTAATGCAAACATAATTAATATTTGTTTTGTCTGGCATCCGTCATCTGAGAGTTTGTAGGAAAATTCATCAACTTTGTCATTTTCTTCTTCAGAAAGTTTACCACATGATGTTCTTGGATTTCTGTCAGAAAACGGCTGGAGGATATCTTTTTCTGTCATTGATACCGCTATTTGAATCCTCTTAGATATTTTCACGCAAAAGACATTTCGCATATATTTTGGTACAAAATAGCAAAGTCGTTTAGAATTTCTCTCAGTAATTCGGTCATTCTGATTAATTCAATCGATCTTCATGGAGCTTAAGAAACACATTCCTTTGTACACTGCGGAAAAAAAAGGCACGACTTAGGATATGTATTAAATTTATATATAGCCATTGGTCTAATATAGGTATTTTGACAAAAAAATCGGACTTTTTCTGAAATAAAATACTAATGTTTCCCATATTTCGGATATTAGATTCAAATTATGCTTAGATATTAAATTTTGTAATTTTTGGTGAGAAATTTATGGAGAAATTTCAAAATTTATCTTGGCGCATTTCTTCTGTTTACGCCAAGAATAATTTACTTGGGGAAATTCATAATTTATAGCAACCTGTTTTCCTTTCCTTTTTTTATTGTAGAGAAGCGGAAAAAAAATCATCGTTCATACTTTCAAATAATTTTAACAAAGTGCGTAAACCGAATTTGGCGTTGTTATCGCTTATAACAAATATGCTAAATTTCAAAACGGGCTAATATGTAAATTCACGTATATCGTAGGAAATGTTGAATAAAAAAAACACTTAATTTTTTGTAGGTATGCTTAGGAATATATCTACTATAAGATAACGATGAAAATGTTACAGGTTATAATTCAAATTTTGTTTCGAAAAATACATACAAATTATATAAAAATACAAATTTTAAAAATAAATTATAAAAATAGTTGAATTTTATTTGGAAAGAAAATAAATTTTGAAATGTGAAATGAAGAATCGAAAATGTTTAATAAAAAAAGGATATATTAATAAATATATGCCAAATTTAATTAACATGGAGGAGGTAAAATTTTAAAAATCACTCGTGCGATTTTTACAAAACTTGGCACTTTGGCATCATTTGAGTCGTAGAATCGAAAGATGGAATAAAAGTGCCATGTCATTTTAGAAAAAGTCCGATTGTGTGTCAAAATAGCTATATTAGAACAATGCTCTATATATCTCTAATACATATTCTAAATCACTCTTTGCAGATATGAAAAACACAAATTGAATTTCATCAATCGGCCCATAGAACTGTCGTATTTACTTTGCGTAGTGTGCATGGTATTTTTAAATAAAAAACTAAGCTGCTTGGCGACTTTTCTCTGCTATTTGGTGATTAATATGATGGAGGAAAAATCTCCTTCCTCATCATATTGATCATGAAATCCATTGTGATTTCGTTACCTTATTTCAATCTTATTTGGCGATTTTATCTATCATCTGACGATTTTATTTCAGTTTAAAAACATGCATTCTGCAGTATTTTGATTAATGTTATTAAATTATTTGATTAATGTTACCAGCGATGTATTTTCATATTTTCGTGCGTAAATGAGAGAGATTTTGCCATATCGGTGACTATATTCGATTAACTACTCGATAACTATAGAGAATTCGATAACTGTACTCGAACGATAACATTAACCACGATGACATTGGTACGTACTGTATGATGTATGCAGATAATGTGAAAAAAAAAGTCGGACATGAATAAAAGACGAAATGATTTTTTAATTCCCGAAGTTCTGTAGATTCTGGATTTCAAATATTGTAATTTGATAGTTAATAAATACTTTATTGAACTGGGAAATACCATTATAAAATGTAACCAGTATATTATGTGTAACAGGATTTTATCTTATAAATTCGCTGTATGAAGCATATTACATGCTTTCTTAGCTTTCCTACTTATGTGTGATCTGTTTGTTATGACCCAGGTTATAGGGTAGCGTAATTTCTGTTTATTTTTCAGATATAATTTTACATGGTTTTTAATTTTATTAAATGATTTTCCATTGTAGGAGTCATACCTCCTCACCCAGTAAGGGATGCATGCCTACCCCAAACATTCATCTTAAAGAACAATAGAACATTTGTGAATTTGAAACCTCCAAAATTCAAGTCATCATTGAAAGGGAGTAAGGCGAAAGTACAATGTTCATTAAATAAAACATTGCCAGCTGGAAATTACATCAATGTATGTGATGCCTTTGATACGGAGCTCGAGATCTCTGCTTCTTGCAAATACAATGTGACAGTCAAAAGTAAGATATCTTATAATATTAGACAGGAAACCATATTATAGTTTATGCAAAAATATATATTAATTTTGTTGAAGGTATATTTTTAATTAAATAGCTTTTTAACCAATGAGCTTCCTATAACTATCCTCAGTTTTATAATGCTAAAATATTCAATTGTTGCCGTATATACAGAAGCCGACCCATTGCCAAGAAGGACTACAAAAATATTTTTGTCACACGTTTTATAGATAAAATTTGATAGATGAAGGCATCGATGATTTTTTCACAGCCAGCGTACTGATATTGATCAATCGAAACGCTGCAACAACTTCTTAATATTGTACTGCTTTAACTTTGGGGTGCAATCTGTCACTACAATCTGGCACAATTCGACAAATCAATAGTAAGTTGTCAGAGGAAAATTGGACTACATTTATAAGCAGAAGTCGTGAAATTCCTGTTGATTGTGAGGATGAGTGGCATAGTTAGGGGGATAAAATAAAATAAGATTATTAACAGGTAAATAAAAGGCTCACCTTATTCACCCTCTGAAATGGAAACTCTCCTTCAAGAAGGAATTCCCTCCTGGTTGAGAATTCCTGCTGTAAATCTTTTAGTTTGTCTGCAAATTGATTTAAATGAAGTAGATTATAGCAGTTATTTTCACAAGGTATGTTTTAATAAAAGTATAGTTAATTTAAATTTTTATACAAGTCATAAAGATAATTAAAAATGTCAGTCTCAAATTTCTTTTCATGGTAAATTTGTCATAAAAAATCCCAAGTTTATATGAACAAATTGTCCTTCATATATTGCCAGTTGTAGTTTTGGAGACTGTTTAAAATATTCATAACAGGTGCTGAATTGTTTTGTTGCAGATTTCTTTGAAGTACATTTTATAAAAGGAAAAAATCAATTTAAAAATAATAATCTTAAATTACCATTCAAAAAAATGGTCAATTTTGAAATCATATCTTTATTGAAATTGACCGTTTTTTTACAACCAGGTAATTGTTTTCAAGTGAAATTAGCTTATTATGTAATTCTGGAAATTGTTTCATTGCCGAATTCGCATATTACGGATTTGCTTCCTCAAAATATATTAAATAGAATATGAAGAAACTTTATATGTAAGCATAATTTATAAAAAATTAATTTTACATGCTTTAAAATGATTTAATTACATGCTCAAAAATTCTTAAATAAAATAAGAAGAAAATTATTAAAAAGATTTGAATTTTACATGCTTTAGAATGCATCTATTGACCAAAACTCTCAATGCGACTGAAATCTTACATTATTCATCATTACTGTGAAACCATAAATCTTCTACATACTACTCAAAAACTACAGATCATGTTATAACTATTCAGAAATAAAGTGTTAGCCGTGAAGCATTTCATAATGAAATAAGTAGGATAGTTATGAAGTTTATAAATATTTCTAAAACACTATATTTAAAAGTGATGAATTTATTAATGTCATAATGCAGAATCATTAGAGCTCAGTTAGTTTGCCTTTGTCGAAACTAAAAAATTAAGGAATATATATTAAGTTATGTTGTGTTATATAGATTACCGTGAGAATTCAATCCAAAAAAAAAAAAAATTACTTATCTGGTAAAGACATCTTGACCAATGTTATGTTAAAAGAAAGTTTCGACACCAAGGTTAAATAGTTTTACTTCTAGGTACCATGTTATATCTGAAATTCCTATATTGTTAAATGTTAAATATGAAACTACTTGCCGTTAAAGGGAGTGATCGTATAGTGAAACGTGTACAGCATTTTTGCGTTGTGAAAAAATTGCATTCCGGGACCGCGCCGTGAGAGGATCGAAAACATAAAACATATACAAGATATAAAGGAAAAGTTCATATTAAATATATAAAAAAAACATACTGTAAGAGGTTCCAGATTAAATATCAGTTTATTCAATTACAACACAATAAGAAAAATCTTAACCTCATCTGAGAGTCTGTTCATTTAAATTCAAAAAAAAAAAAAACTTAAGGTTTGTCTGGTGATTTAAAAGAAGGAAAGGGAAACAATTTAAGGCCTGAGAGTTAAATTTTAGATTCGACGTTGTTTTTTTTACTGCTAAGGACGTTTTTGAAAAAACTTGCCTAAAGTTCAAACACACCAAAAAAAATACAACTTATCTTGAGGGGACATCTTGAAGTGGAGGACTCTTATCTTATCAACGACTTGATGTCGACAGGCCGGGCACTCATCTTGACACAGGTTCTAAAAATGTAGACTCCACTTCACTACTGTAGAACAGAAACTGGAGCACTGCTGCCCAGGGGCGGCTATCCGCTTGGTCCTGAAAGTCCTATGTCAACACGCAGGTAACTCGTTCAAATTTCGCCTCTTTACCACACGCCGCAAGGAAAGGGTTTTTCAGGCTCAGGTCAGAAACGTTTTTTTTTTCCTAGGCCATTTCAGCTCGCCTGTTCTTACTCATCCCCAGAGCAAGCTTCACGAGTAACGACCCAAGTAAATTCCCCCACCAGTCAGTAAGGGAGAGAATCCACTCCAATTTTCTTCAAGCCATTTTCAGAGCAACGTCCACAAGACCAGCAAACCCGAAAGTCAGCGAATCCAAGCGTGAGTGCCTAAGCGAGTCCAAGAGTAAGTGTGTCTCGCCTCTTAACCTAACGCGGCCGGGGAGCATATTTGCCGCTCCCCGCCGGAAAACACCTCTCGGAGTCACTTACATTTTGTCCAGCAAGCCCAAAACTCAGCGAGTCAGTCCGAGAGTCAGCCAAAAGTAAGTGTGTCCAACTCAAATTTCCTTCTCCTTCACCAAACGGGCTCCCACTATGGCTTCACTTATCGCCCCCTTAATTATGGCAAAATCTTCGTTTTCAACTCCAGAATGCGGAAATAAGGGTGATCGCGCATGCGCGCCCTTCTTCACTTAGCCAACAACCGGACCCTCAATCGCCAAAAACCTGAATGACTTACATTGAAAGACAAGTAGCAACCTTTGACCTTTCCGTCACGTACTTTCCTCTCTTAAGGTCAACTAACAATGAAAATTCTTTCTCGAACATTCTAAAGCGCGCGAAATCATGACTTGGCGAAAATTGCCTCCCTTTCCCTGCTTCTTTCACAATGAATCAAAGTTTTGTACAAGATTTGCAAATAAAAGAAAATAAATAATATTCATTTAAACTAAATAATATTTCCAGAAGCATCTGTTTTTTTTTCCCCAAAATTAAAGCCTTAAATTAAATAATTCAGAATCAAAATAAAATTTAAATTTCCATAAATCATCATAAAATCATTCACCTAATTTTTATAACGCTATCCGGTAATTTCTCTACATAACATTCCTTTCCCCTAAGGAATTAAATTTTGGTTTACCAAAATTTAGCAGACAGACACTTCTTGAAATACCATGACTCATACTGTGCAATAAGGCTAAAGGATAACATAATGTAACAATATTTCACACGACTCCTTGGTAACAGTGACGTTACTGACACATTAAATTTCAAGTCCAAAATGTGCAAGTAAAAACAACAAGATTAATCAAAGCAATTACTAATTAAAATACTCAAGGAAGATCATCAAAAATAATTAATCAAAAACATCAATTAAATCACTTAATTAAACCTAGAAATACTCAGAACACATACAAAAATAAAAATAAAAATAAGGCGCTAATCACAAACAAAATATGTCTAAGATCAATCAATAAGATAATTAACGCGCCGCAGATACATAAAATACATTCCTGAGAAAATAAACACACTAATAATTCAAACAATTCCAAATAAAATATGTCACATGAACGTATTCAAAAAAGGAGTAAAGACCCCCTTAAGTACTACGAAATTGAATAACTTCCAAGAATGAATCCCAAACAATCACGTCTAAGAACAGAAGCGGCCTGATCAGGGCCAAGCATTAGAAAAGAAAAGAACGTTACAACACAAGGAACCTCGGAACCAGCCGAAAATACCCCACACAAAAGATCAGAAAGAAGGAAAACGTGATTGTCCAAAAATTCAATTCAACCAAAATCAATTCCGAAAATAGCATAACGAATACGCTGTGCAAATACCAATTAGAATTTTATCCAATACACACACAAAAAATAATAATAATAATACAACCTAATGCATATACAAAATAACGTTTGGCCAAACTGAAAAAGTCAAACTATATACAACCAAGATACACATAAAATGAAAATACAATTAAACTGTAAAAATTTCGTACATAATTCAAATGAGCAATGAGATCAGTGATACTTAAAAAAAAAATTTAAACTGCAATACCTAAACCAATACACACCTAATCATTACGTTAAACCATATCAAGTCAAAAATATTTCACTGTAATTCAAATCAAGCCAAAAAAAAATCAACCAGCAAGAGTGAAGTGCCGCTAAAAATTTCAAACCTCACGGTAAACACTAGTGAGTAACAACACCAAACTTAAGTCCCCTTAGTAAGACAACACCAAAAAAAAAAAATCCAGTAATTCTAAAAATCCATTAGGTCCACAAAAAAAATTTCAACTAGTCAAAGAAATCAATCAAAGCTGGACTGAAGCACGTTACTAGAACACTAAATAAAATATCACAAATCAACAAAGTGTTCAAAACAAACCCCCCAATTTAGGCAAAAACTGAGATCTATTCTGCATCAGACTCTTCCAAAACGTTGTATAGTAACCTAAGTAGCAGCCTTCAGCAACACCTCCACCCAAACAAAAGAAACAAAGTAACTCTTTACCGCGTCCATGTAAGCTGAGAAAAGCGCTGTATTATAAATGACAGACTCAAACTTTACGTATCAAGCAAACCTCCAGACACGTTGAAAGAGAACATAAGATCTCTTATCTCGGAAAGAAAAGTGCGCTGACTGAAACGTTACAATCCTGAACCAACACCATGAAAGAGATACAACAATAGATTTCTCAGATAACAAGTTCCTGTTTGCCCCCGGTGTAAGAGGTCAAGTGCCACCATGAAGTGCAAGTATTTACAAGAAAACGAGCTTTCAGGACATTACAACTTCACGCAAGACCTAACTGCAAGCAACAAATGCAAAGTTCTCAAAAGTGCTAAACTAAAAAAAAATACTCATAACTCATAATTCAAAAAATCCCTAAAAATCACACAAATGAAATCCATAACTCAAATTCTTCTATTTTCCTAAGACCACAGAAATCTCAATTCTTCCACAGAAACTAAACATCAGAGAACTTACATTTTACGGACCTTGGCAGAAACCACCAGAAAACAAAACAAAAACTTGATACAACTATCTTGATACTAATAAGTCAAAAAAGCCAAAACAAGAATTAACCCCCAAATTCAGCAACAAGTCCAACCAAGAAAGAAAATTCAAGTAACCTCAAATCAAATCTATTACGATTCACTAGCAAATTCAAGACAAACTACTTGTAATCAACAGAAAATTCCCACTCATGAGTACAGAGCAAAAGTAACTAATCTTCTCAAACTTATTTCAAAAATTTCCAAAACCAAATTCCCGTTGTCACCAAAATTCTCATTAAAATTCACTTTCTTTCTACAATTCACAAGACTAAATTTCTACTGTTTAAACAATTCTCACCTGACAACTTTCACAAACTTAAAACTCAGAAGATAACTAATCTCAATTACTCTGACTCATTAAACTAATTAGAACTTCACTCAAGCTGATGAATTCAATCCAAAAAAATTAAATAACCAAACATCACTATTGCTGATCTCAGGCAAAAATTCAAATCTAACCCATGTTCACTTTAAAACAGAATTTTGCAATTGAAAAACAACCTTCAATTTTGTTTTTAACTCATTCATTTGTATCATTATGCCTTCAGAACTTATAAAATTCATTGCTCAATACTAAATTAAATTTTCTAACACATTACACAATATACTGGAATTATAACAAAACATTGTAAATCAAAACGCAATAATATACTACGCTAGAGAATCATGAAAACATTACATACATTTCACAAAATATTATTCAATTAAGTCAAAAAAATCAAAATTTCTCTAACGTTACCCCTCACAATTATACATTTCACAAGATTCTAGGTTAAATAATTAGCAAAAACACACACAAAAAAAATTTCTAGCTACGCATAGCTATGGCTTGTCTCATTCAGTAAAATAATTAGAGTCTTTAATCTCTTTCTCTTAGAAGTGCTCAAAAAATGAGTCCAGTTTTTACCGACAAGCACTCGAAACTTGTTACAAGGATACACAAATAGCATAGGATTATCGTGAAATAATTCATTTTCCATCTTGTATCAGAAATCAGAAATCAAAAGTATACATGCAGGAAACACTCAAGGATTTTCTACAGTAAAAATATACAGTACCTATTCTCCTACATTAAAAATATATATTTTTCCTAACTTTAAAGTTCAATTCTGTGTGCCTAACGTTAAAGTCCAAAATTCCTGAAATTCACACACATTTTCAAACTTTATCACTCTCGTATTAACAAATAAGCAAACACAAATCAAAAACTCTAATTAATCCTAGCACCTAAAATTTAACACCTTCTTAAAACAGTAAGTTATACGAAATAAATAAATTCACAAAATCAGTTACTGATTCGATCCTTCACTAAGCAGAGGTCACGGCACCAATGTTATATAGAGAAGAAAAAATTTTTCGAGACCATTCTAAAGCGCGCGAAATCATGACTTGGCGAAAATTGCCTCCCTTTCCCTGCTTTTTCACAATGAATCAAAGTTTTGTACAAGATTTGCAAATAAAAGAAAATAAATAATATTCATTTAAAATAAATAATATTTCCAGAAGCATCTGTTTTTCCCCAAAATTAAAACCTTAAATTAAATAATTCAGAATCAAAATAAAAATTTAAATTTCCATAAATCATAAAATCATTCACCTAATTTTTATAACGCTATCCGGTAATTTCTCTACATAACAGTTGCTGAGTAGTATTATTTATGTATTTTTTATAAATTTTAAAGAATTTTGTTCTTTAAAATACAAATTATACTTTTCTTTGTCTTTTTTTAATTCTTTTATAAAGTTGTTTAAAATGTATTGCAGAAATCATATCAAAATCGCTAATTATAATACATTTTGTATTACCAGACGCAGAATGTCCGCCATTAGAGCCCATTTTGCTTGGTTCTATCAAGTGTGATAGTGAGACAGATAGTGTTCCTAAAGTTGGAGCCTTGTGCAATTATGAATGTGATGAAGGTTATGTCATTCCAACAAGTTTACTTTCGTACGCCACAAAACTATGTACTTACTACGGAAGCTGGAACAGTACAGTATCTCCTATTTGTATTCGTAAGTATTTAATGTAAATACTACTGAAATCGTACTAAATTCATAGTTTTCTATCTTAGTATTGCAGAAGTAGTATAATGATCAACTTTTTCTCTAAAGTTCTTTCGTACTAACCTGGAATGAATCATTTCATTCATTTTTCCGATTTCTTTTACTGCTCAAAAGTAATAATGGCTTTTAAATTCTTGTTTTGGCTAAGTCTGTATATTCAAATACAGTACAAAATAGCAGTTCGGAATTGTTGGAACTTCAGTGATTCAGAGTTTCAGAAATTTATGGATTTTATATCATCAGTTTAATTTAGTAAGATGACATGCAGAAATAATCAAAAACATCTTTATTAATAACTCTTTAAGAAAGAGGATTTTGAATAAAAGAAGATTTTTTTTAAATCGCCACTACATGAAGGGCAAACGCGATTCGGAAAATTTTGCTTTTTCTTGGGATGTCCCAAAATCTTCAGTTGCTTAGCTCTCATCATCATCATCATAAAATTAGGTAGCTGGTTATTAATTATGTCATGTATTTTTTAAAAGACATATCTGCAGATCCTATGATCTTACAACCCCACTCATTAGATTTTATGTGTACAGGGTGCGGCAGCGTTCATAGTAGGATACTAAAAACACACCATAAGGCGGTAACTGCAATTTATTTATTACATTCTTATTTCAATGATTAGTTAAAGGTATGCCATTTACTAATGTGTAAGTCATTGTCCATTGCGTGGATTACTTTTTGAATAGGATGCCTGTCAAATGATGCCTCCTCTGCACAACACATTCATCTATACGGCGTTGGAAGCTTGCCATAACTCGACGTAACGTATTCCCTGGGACACTGAAGATGGCAGTTCGGATGCGATCCTTCAACTCAGAATTGGTGGCACAACGTGTTCGGAAAACTTCTTGCTTCAGGTGGGCCCAAAGGAAGACGTCTGCGCGTCTTCCTTTGGGGCGGGAAATTAAACGGGAAATTACTGTACTTGGAAATGTCTGTAGCAATGGTCCTCCCATCCGAATCTTTCCCATGACGTTTCAAGTTGAAATGTTGCCGAAATAGATGCTGGGTAGCAATAACAGAGTAGTTATTCTTGAAATGACTTTCAACAACAAAGGAACGATGCTGTGAACTCCACCGATCCATATCACTGTCACACTCGAAATGGCAGCTGATTAGTACACGAATGCGGCACGAGCTGGCGTGCATTCATGCAGTACGTCATTGTACTACCAAGTCAAATTTCGGTATGAACGCTACCGAGTCCTTCACAAATATTTCTGAACGTTTTGGATGGTCTTGCATCAGTATCTTTTTTTTAAAAGCTATTTTATATCTGCATTTCAGTCTGCACAAAATTCCGATACCCATTAGCTGATTGATGGACGTATATTTTTCGGAAAAAATAAAATGGGCGTTTTATCATTTACAAAAAATGGGAATTTTATAGGACTAATAACAGATGTAACAAAAGAATAAGCTGCTTCAAATCAGAAAATTAATAGAAATGCGCTGTGTTAATTGAACTTAGGTCTTTTGGAATCTAATTTTTTCTGTCTTGCATGCTGCCATGCCAACAAACGAAAAACATTATGAGCAAAATCTTATTGCAGATAATTGTCTCGGAGTCTTGTTTTTTAGATCAGACAGAAAAATACTGCCCCCTTCCAACAGCTTAAGGGCTAAATGTGTGGTCATATAAACACACATTGCTAATAACAACTGAATCAATCTAATGTTATTAGCCATGTTGTGAATGCCTAGCCCATAAGAGTGTGAAAGTGACATACAGAAATATCATTTGGTCAGGAGAAAAATCCCTTTTATAGGCACACCTGCTTTTACTGGATTCCTAGACTTTGTGAAGAAAAAAATGTTACTTGTGATCCAGACATTGGTCATCCGTATTTCAGACTTTGGGCTGTAATAACTTAATATAATTAAAAACACTAACAAATTAATAGTGTTTAATTTATTCTCTTCCTCTGTGCTGTTGAAACTAATTACTGAAGAAGAAAAACACAACTTTCAAATAATAAAATGTAATAAAGTAGAATTTGTTTTTTTTATTGAATATTTTCATATGTTAGGTTTAAAATGTGGTTTTGCAAATGAATGTAATGAATTATCTCATATTCATTTAACGCTTCATTTGATTATTTCAGAAATCAGTTATAAGCATTTTGAAATTACATTCTACTGGTTTATAGAATATTTATCTCATGCATCAATTATGTATGTATAAAAATTCATGGATGCTTATTAATTAACTGCTCATTAAATGAGTGATTACAGAGTAAACCAACCTTCTACTCATTCATATGTTGCCTCAAGCTGTTTTGAGAATGATGTTAGTTTATCCTAATTTAGCCACTTTACTCTTCGCGCTCAAACGACTCGTTGATTTGAAAAAATATCGCGATGAATCAGCAACAAGACACACTCCTTGGATTTAAATGTGGCAAAGTCTATTACCTCCAAGAGAAACTCGTCGTTTTGTGATTTCTAGCCTTCAGAATGGGGTGAAAATGAAAAGAGATTTATGGCCTAACTGGTCATGCTTTCCCCAGAGCAAGTTGTATCAAGATCATGCAAATCAAAGTTCACTTAAAAAGACGGGCAATAAGAATCACTTCAAACCCACCTTTCAGACGACGTTGCAATGGGAACTATTGCATTGAAATGCTTGAAAGCATGCCTGTAGGAGATTGTTTTACATAATTTTTAGGTAAGAGCCTAGGAAATACAAAAATATTTTTTTCTCCTTCTTAGAGTGAATTTCTTCAGTACTGTTGAGTGGTAGGTAGTTTCAAGTGATTTTGCACAGACTTTTAAATTAGGTATTCACAACTGGTGACAGGGAAGAGAATAATTTCTATCATACACTGAGACCAAATGCATGGGCGAAAGGTTTCTAATCATTATCTCTTTGAAATATATAATTCATTATTTACAGATAATGTTTCTGTTAAAATTCAAATATATCTTCCTTCTGTTGAAGTGAAAGTATATAAATCTACACCTTAGAAAATATTGTGGCATGCCTTTTCTTATACTGATGTTATGTGATGATGTAATCTTAATACTATGCAGCTTGATGAATTACAACTTGCCAATTGTTTTAACCCTTAGCGCTCCGCACGTTTTTGTACCACTGCCTACCAGCAACTCCGGCACATTTTCGCAGCGGAATGCAGCATCCAGAATATCTGCACAAATTTCTTTCTTGTAAATATTTTACCAAAGAAAGGCATGTGACTATTCTTCTTAACTGACCAATAATCCTGCATATTCGCCAGGGGTATCGTACCCATATTGATAACAACTCCAATAAAAGCCCAAAACGCATCCTCTTCCACCGCACGCCACGTTTCCAAATGGCGATACACTAAAATGTATTCTATCCGCAATATATAATTCTTCCGTGACATCGTGCCATTCATCTAAGTCTTCCGGCGACTCTTCGCTTTCACTTTCAATAACTACCATCCGTCGTCTCTTTGGTAGTATAATTTCGGAACCACTACTTGAAGTTTCAGAATTAGAATCAACATTGTCTTCCGCAATATCTTCTAACAATGAAAAATCAAACGCATCTTCACTATCACTGAATTCCATATTCTCCTCACAATAATTATTTTTATCCATGTTTCTAACCATAAAATAGGTCAAATAATGTTTCAATCGTAACAATAGCGAGACTGAGCCCGTTTTAACTACAGATAACAACTGCCAACGCCGACGATTCCGTAAGATCTTAAGCCTAATCATGCTAAAAACATTGGGCTTCGCAGCCTAGCCTACGAAGTTACGGAACAAATGACGGACGACTCCGTAGCGGAACCAACGGAGTGCTAAGGGTTAATAAGTGACTGGCTAGGAAATATAAATGATTAAAGGAGATATTTAACTATTGCCATCCTTAAGATTTGTAAAGCTAAGTTTAACTGCTGCTGTCAAGTTTGTGAATTTCTCTAATCTATAAAATCCATGGAAATCCTAGATTTCTTTCTGGATGCCTAGATATTTTTTATGCTGCATTCTGACGCATTTTAACCCTAGCAGAAACTTCAAAGAATGTGAAAATACTTTTGCCTATGAGGATCATGAAACATGAAGAACATTCTTTTTTATTCAGTCAAAGCTTGGATATGGAACAATTTCTGTACCTTTTCAGCTCTAAGTGAATTTTAGCTCTGTACGCCTCTGCTTGCAGTTATACTACACTGGTTATCATAAATTAAGGAAAAATCACAAAAATCAGGATTACTGAAAACGTTGCATGTATAATTTAAGGAAACTTACCCACAATATACAGCACATAGTAAGGTATCAAATAACATAAAAAGAAATTACCAAAGAAATATGGTAGTATAGAGACTAGCACATGTATAAAATGAACAAATGTAAGGTGTCAGTTTGCTATAGGAAAAGTACCTTCAATATGGAATATGATCGCCTCTAGAAGCACATACAGCGATGTGTGATGCTTTCAATTATGCGGTCTATCAGTTCCATAGGAAGCGAGAGCCATTGCTCTTGCAAAGTAGTTGCAAGCGCAGCAGACTGAGAGCAGTCTAGACGTCTCCCTAAAGCATCCCAAACGTGCTCGATAGGATTCAAGTCCGGGGATTGAGCTAGCCACTCCATGCGCATAATTGTTTCCTGTTGAAGATAATCGTCTGCGATGCGAGCCCTGTGTGGTCTTGCGTTGTCGTCCTGTAACAGGAAAGCATCACCTATTGCCCCTGCATATGGGCGCACATAAGCATCAAGGACATCTCTATAAATATGGGCATTCACGGTTCCCCTTGGAAAGACATCGAGGTCTGTGCATCCACCCAAAGAGATGCCACCCCAAACACAGACACTGCCCCTTCCGTATGCATCTCTTTCACGGATGTTTGACGGATGATAACGGGTTCTAGGTTCTCTCCATATCAAATAACGCCTACTATTGCTTTTTAGACTAAACCTGAACTCATCAGTAAAGCGAACAGCCATCCATTGATCAAGCGTCCAGTGGACATGTTGTCGTGCTCACTGAAAACGGTCCCTCCTATGGCGTTACGTGAGCGGTACACAAATGGCTGGTCGCCTCGCATACAGACCGCCTTCTTGAAGCCTTCTACGCACAGTTGACGTTGACACCAACCTTTAGGTGGCTGCAGCAAGGGAGGATCTAAGTAGAGTCGGAGTAGCGGTTCTATTCCTGCGTGCACATAATGTCAAATATCGGTCATCGGCGCTCGCCGTAGCAGTTAGCCGTTCTTGGCTGAACCTTCTAGATGCCGAATCAGTGGTTTGAATTGCCTCCAAAGTCTATGAACCACAGAAGGACTCACATTCAGCCATCTGGCCGTTTCTGTTTGACTTTGTCCTGCCTCTAGTCTCCCTATGGCTCTCCTCGCAGTTTCTGCAGGCAAATGATGCCTGGAGGTCATTGTTACGAATTGGCTATCTCAGATTTCTGATGTCACAGTGAAATATGTGGGCTTGTTCTCAAACATGGACTTTTATGTTCCTCGCAGATGACGTATTCCGAAAGCAGCGCCACTAATTTGCATATCGCAGTTTTACTCAGTTAGTCTTACTTGGCAACATATTGAAATTTTACACGGTTTGGCTTATTTTTGAGGGAGTTATCGCTATTTTTGTGATTTTCCCTTAATTTATGAAAACCAATGTATCATAAGTTTTACAGAAATCATATTTAATTAGGTGATGTCAAACATTTTTTTACTTAATTAACCTATATTATCTCTAACTCTATGGCCAGTGTTGACTGCAAGGTGATATTACGAGATTCTTTCTGGCTTCTCGTTTTTCCCCTCTTAAATTGTGACAGATTCACATGATATGCCATGTTCTGATACGTGAAAGCCATCACATGACTGCTACGAACAAAATGCATGTAAGTGGTCTGTTGGAATGTGATTGAAAGTAAGCTTATAGTTCTTCTATTTCGTATGTGAGTGTAAAACAGAGTAATAATAGCTGGAAGTTTATTCATTTTTATGTATCAAAAAGTCAACTGTTTTCTTTTTCACTGTATTTTGACAAAAATGTGCTCATAAATGATTTATCTTGCAGCTCATATACCTCCAGTTCCAAAAGAAGGTTCCTGTCTAAATGGTGTTGTAAGTGTGGAAGACCTGAGCAGATTTAATGTGCCTCAGCCAGAATTTGTATCTTCAAATGGGGTTGATCTAGACATTGAATGTGATCCTTCAAATATTACCAGTTATGGAGTATATAATATTACATGCATTGCTTTGAATCCACAATCGAGAGCCTCTTCTTCCTGTATTTTTCAGCTTGATGTACAAAATCCAAATGAAGAGACTGAGTTGGATAGAGAAGGTAAAAAATAACTTTCTAAACACCGAGTATGATCGTGTGATATAATTCAACATTTCTTTGGAATTTAAATGCAATAATGCATCATTCTATATCCTAAACAATACTATGAAAATTCGGTTTTTCTTATATTTTTAAATAGTTATTACATTTTTAATAATTTAATTTTCATTACTCAAGGGAATTAAAAATTGACTTTTGAGTATATTGTTGTTCTAAATGAATCATTCATTTGATTAAAAAATTTTGCTTTTGTCATTCTGTTTCGTAATTTTTTTCCATTCATATTAACTAATTAATGGTAATGTCAAAATGTATAACGGAAACATCTGATGCTCACTGCTATTATAATAAGAAAATAACTTGAGCAATCCATAAAAATTATCATTACTTATACAAATAAATAAATAAAGACATTTGTTTGATATATGAAAAGATTAAGAATTTTTGGACATGAAAATTCATTGATAATCTTGAGATAAATTTAACAGAATTACTTCAAATATAGTCTCTTTGATGCCAAGCTAAAGAAACCTTGGAAGTTTTTGTACTAAAATCAGAGTTTATCTGTTATTATAAAACATCCTCAGTAGTTTTTGAGAATTTGCTACTACGGAAGTGTGAATAGTATACATTGTGTAAAGCATGCAAGTTTCTATTAAAGCAGAACCCCAATAGCAGCCGAGCGGTAAAGTCGCTGAACACTGGTAGTTCAGTCCGAGATTCGAATTTCGCGAACGGGCTGGCTGCATGGGCACTTTCATGGTTTTCACCATGTGCACTGTGTATACCAGCCATTTTCCCTTAGAAAGTCCTCCACAAAGGGATCCCTTACCTTAGGCAGATAGCCCTCGAGGCGTTGTCATAATCACGTAAACCAAACCAATTAAAGTAGGAACTATGTTTTTTATATCGAATTTTGTGCAATGTAATTGTGTTTGTAATAATACAGGATTTTGTAAAATTTTTGAAAGCTTTGGATAACAGAAAGTAACACTGTATATGTCCTCCCTAGAACTTCTAGAACTCTTATAGTAAAAAAAGGCTGTTTCCATAAGGGATATTTATTTTTTATATATTAAAAATTACGTATTTTTCAAGTTAGTTTTAAGCTTTCATTAAAATATTGTATCATTTATATAGCTTGAAAAGTGGGTCTTCACACAAAGGTTTAAAAGACTAAAACCAAAGTTTACTGGTATACTTTAGTACCAGATTATGTGTAGATTTTAATTTAAACTCTATCGATTTCTAGAGGCATACAATTTTTGCTCCTGGCAAAGAGGGATCTGTACCTGTTAGCCGTCGAAATCGGTAGAGTTTTAGTTAAATTCTGCATCACCCGCAAGGATTTAAAGCTTAAAAAGAGTATATGGGAATGTAGAAAGCAACTTCATTGCGTGGTGGCTGCTTTTTACTGTTGGTGCCTGATTACACTTGCTATCATTAGCAAATGACATAATTTTATCTATTGGTTGGCATTGCATACCAAAATCAATAAGAAAAATACCCTTGATGACTACTACACTTTTAATCAATAATATGTCCCCATTAAATATTTCATAAAAACTTATATGGAAATAAGTTTAATTTATGGAATGTGAATGCTATTATTAGGTTTGATTTTCGGTTTCTAATAATTACAAAAATAATGGTCTTGACCGTAATTATAAATGACGTTTTATATGCAAAATGGATTGCAGAAAGTTGGGCCTTCTTTTGCAGAAAGACAAAGAGAAAGATAATGCTTCAGTGAGTAAAAGGATTATTATATAGGATTATTATGTATTATTATGAGGGATCGCTTCAAGTAGGGTCATAGAAGAGTCCTGTATAGTGTAACAAGTATTTATTAACAGTTTTAAGTTACACACGGACATTACATTTAACTTTATAAGAAAATTACAGAGCCAGAGTCTGGTACAACCTATCAAGTGGGACACTTGGCTTTTACTGAAGTACTTCTCTGGATACTCACCAGAGGGCAACCTTGTTGTCACAGTTAGTCCAACAGTTTATGTTAAAGAAATGGTTACATTATTATAATAATATTAATTATAATATTATAATTATTATATATTAATATTATTATAATTATTATTGTATTAACGAGTGCAATTATTTTACTTCTTTTGTGACTGAAATTGTCCTATGACACTTCAGAAGAAATAATAAAAGTTTATTTCTTCTATTACTTATTTTGTACATTAAGAAACTGTATTTTTTTAGAGTTTGTATATATAAGTAGTTACTTCATATATCATGCTTTGTAATAATATAAAGTCACCAATCATTAATTTGCGATAGTAATAATAAATGAAAAATTATCAAGAATTAATGAAATCTCCATATATTTTAGAAATAGGTTGTGTGGAACTCGGAATAGTCGAAAATGGAATTGTCCACTGCAATTCAACTGAATCTAAAATTCTACCTTTCAAAACATTATGTGAGATATCTTGTGACGAAGGATATGTTATACCTGCAAGTCAAACACACTTAACACCTGCAATTTGTGAAGAGAATGCTGAATGGAATGTTTCAAATGTTCCTCACTGTGTTAAAGGTATTCAAACAAATTTTACATTTATCCCTGATAAAAAAATGCTTCATTTCTCTTACAGTACCCCAATGTTTACTTTATTCAAACATGTACTGTTTCATCTGCATTGTAACTAGAATTTTGATTAATAATTTAAAATATGATACATTTCTTATTTAACTGATTAAATTTAAAAATTGTAACTGTGTAAATGTAAAAATGTAAATTGTGTAAATGTATTTGTAAAACATGATAAACTTTCTTATTAACTAAGTTATGAACAAATACTTCTTAAATTGATTTTTTTGATGAAAAAGTTTCTTACTTAAAAGATACTTTAATTATGCATAGGATGATAGATATTTTTTGTTTTATATGTGTTGTTTAAACATAATGTTTGAAAACGTGCAAATAATTAGAACTCCAAAAAATTGTTTGAGAAATAGCTGCAACAAGAGGGTGTATTAAGAACTGGTAAATACTTCTCTGATACTTTTGAAGGCAATATTTGCATACAGTTATTTAATTTTTTAATTCTATTTGAAGACGATTCAACTAAATGCATCTTGTTAGCTAAGTCTTTCGTCAAATAAGAAAAGAAACATTTCCAAGCAAAGCTTAAAATTAGGAGAAACAGAAACCTTTTGGAGGGAGGTAGATTTTTTGCAGATGGACTTTTTTGCCAAAATAAGGTTACTGTTTTGTTTAATTTTATTCATTGGTATGTTAAGAAGACTGCAGTGGCATTCTCAGTAGATCGTTAGTGGCACAGTTGGGAGGGCAGTGTGCCCCCAACTGTGGGCCGACCAATTTAGGCACGGCCTTTTATTTGTGTGAAACATTTTGTACAAATTTGTCAGGTGCAGGGCTTAATTTCTAAGAGTAGAAGTGCTGGAGCCCTATGGAAGAAGACCTTCAGTAAAGAGGAACAAGAATAAATAAATAAATAAAATGACTATTAAACTCATTAATAATTTTAAAATTAAATAGTTAATTATTATCAAATTAATTAATAGCTGTTTAATTAATGTTTTATAAATTGTTATTTAATCAATAGTTATTATCGAATTAATTACAATTTAATTGATAATTATTAGATAATTAATTATTATTTATTGAAATAATTAAAGATTGAAGTAATTAAATAATTAAAATTAAATAAAATGTAAAGAGATAAATTGAAATTTTATACTCTATTTTTTAATTTTAAATTTAATAATATTATTAATTTATAATAATTTTATAATTTTATTGTTAAATTAAAATTTTCGAAATAAAATTTCTACCGAAATTGTTATTCAATTACATAAAAGAAGTGCCGCAGCCTTCTTATTCAGGGCTCCGGTGCGTTCCGGCTAGAATTATGATTTATTACAAAAACTAGGAAGCACCAGAGCCGAGATCCGATGGGCTCCGGCCCAATTTAAGCTCTGATCATAAGAAGGGGAGTTCTTTTATCGTCACAAAAATTAAATATATTTAAAGCATAGCTGATGAAAATTCCAGGGCGAAACAGAATGAGGGTATGAGTGGGTGGAAACAAAAAATAAGGGGAATCGTAGTGAGAGAGAACGTTCTCTTTGATCACGGCTCTCTGCTGATATAATTATAGACATCAAGCAGATGTACGTCAGGTGTAAGATGAGTCCTGAATCTGACTCCTAAGGTTGAATTTAAAGTTGCTGGTTACGCTTTCCGCCCCCCCCCCAATTAGTGGATACTGAGGAAGACGGTGTATAGGACGTGCTTGACCAGTTTATCTCAGTATTTCACTCTTATTGTACTCGCTGTCACTTAACGCACATTTAAGAATACAAATTTTCCTTTCTGGCAGGATAATTAACTGTACGCATCAATAACAATAGACTAGATACGACGACATGGCGAGAAATTTACGCGTTCCTAAACAAATTCCCCCAAATTTATTGCCTTTCTTAAAGAGAAAGGTTTCCGCATGTGAGTGAGGGCACTTTAATTGAAAGTTTCATGTTCTCATGAGTTCGTATTTCTAGGGAAATAGAGTATTGCAAAGTTTGATTATTGTTAAACTAAAACGCTAGGAATTCTAATTTTTCTCCATTTAAATTATGGTTCAGTTTTATAAAAAGAAGTACCGGAGCTCATCTTATTTAGAGCTTTAAAATTGAGAAGCACCGGAGCCGGGCACCAGTGGGCTCGGGCGCAATTTAAGCACTGGTTGGATCACTGAGGTGAAGAATAATTAAATTCTAAAATGTCATACAGAATTAAATTGAAAAGTAAAAGAACTTTGTTTTTAGTTAAAGTACTGAAAGCAATCGCCTTGTGATTACAACTATATGCGTTTATTATACATTTTTTTCTTACTTCGGGAAAATTTTTGAATGCAAACTACAAATAATAACGAAATTACGATAACGGTGATAATAATACCAAAGATGTTTTTTTTAAGAAAAAGGCATCTGAGAGTATTTTCTATTATTTCCAAAAAAAATCGAAACAGAAACATAGAAGGACAGTCCTTTTGAATTTTTCCGTTTATTCTATAATATAAATACAATCTCCAGAACAGGGATCTAAATATTGTGATACTAGTTTGAACTTTCCTCGCAATTGTTATAAGCGTTGGTAATTGTGAGAAACGTGTTCTAAATAAAGGAAGTATTCAAGAACTACAACGGTATATTTTGCATTTAAGAAATATCTATTCTCTACGTAATCAAGCAAACGAATAGACTTCTATAATGTCTTTGGTGGTTTTCTGAACAAGCAAACAAGCAAAAACATTTATGTCTCTACATGTCATTTTGATATTTTTATATTGTTATTGGTTTGTATATCAAAGGGGGCTGCAATTTCAAGAACCACCCCAGGTGGCAAACTCAGGCACCACTCTGGTGGTAAAATTTCTACCTGCACTATCGTTACGAGTTATTAATCAATTAACCTTCAGTTGTATAACTTAATATTATGCACAATATTTTATTACACTTCTGTGGGACTTTTTAATATAAATTATTTTAAACTGACGTGATATAATTAATAACTACATGATATAATTAATAAACTACACTGTTATTTAACCTATAGATTGAAACTGCATACCAACATATACGATGATTGATGTTGCGATGTACAAAGTTTGCTGAAGATTACTATTAATTTGCATGCCACTTCAAAGACTAAAGAGCTATTAATCTGTATTTATTTGCATAATTAAACGCAGTTGTTTATATTTCAATATTATAATCCTGTAATTAACGTGTTCCCACTACATTATTCCATGCGAAATTTCACACTGTTTAATTAAAAGCGGGGGGGGGGGAAAGATCCAGCATAAATTTTTTTCACTCTTTAGTACACTTCACATGCATTTAATTAAGCACTCCACATGATTAAAGTAAAATAACACGCCGAACAAGTATTAATTTAGAAGTCAAATAACAAAAATCTATATTTGCAAATTTTCACAGGACTAGTTTGGATGCTGAGGCTGATGGTTCAGTAAAACCATCGAAACTAATCCTGTCAAAATTTGCAAATATAACGCTGATTTTTGTTGCTCTAATTCTAAATTAAAATTCCGCATGCTTTTAATTAAAAAGTGCTAAATAAAATTAAGCATTCTTTAACTAAAAGCATATGGAAGTAAAGTTGTAATGTTGAGTTTAGGTTCTTATAATATAAATTAATATAAATAATTAATGTAATATAAATAATCATAAAAAGAACGTTCTTATTAACTCAAACAGCATTAACCCTGAAGGGCTATTAATTCCGCTTTGGCATTTTGCACTGAAAGCTTCAAATGTCAGTTCACTTTTCAAATTGCTGCCACCAAATATTACAGCCCTGCATTATATTTAAAAAAATTAAATAATGAAGAATCTGCATAAATGTATATATGCTTCTCGCATTGTGATAAAACGACAGTACCTAGAGCCATTCAATTTTGAATAACGTACGTGTTCACTCGAAAATGGGCATCTGGAAGCCCAGATTTGGAATTTGTTTTATTATTTCATGTGTTGTAAACCTTTAACGAATTTTTGATTAACAAATTCGACGACTTCAAAGCGAGCAATAGCAAGACTGTACGGAAGGAAAAGTTTTTATCTCCAGCGCGCGAGGTTGTGTATCGAAATTCTAAAATTATTTTGTGATATTGCTGTTGAACAAAATCTTTTGATGCGGAAAACATGATATTTAATAAATAAAGGCAACCCACAAAACGTTAATAGCAAGATCAAGTGAAGGAGTGAAGCTTCATTTGGGAGGGGGGAGATATTCATTTGGATATTACTAAAATAATTATTTTAACTCTTGTTACTATTAAAAGAATACCTGTGAGACTTCAATAAGAGATCTAATTCTTTATTTAATCATTTTATCAAAGATATTTTAGTTCCTTTGAAACATATTTTGTGCATTAACCTTTTCATGGAGGTTGTGGCATGCATGTTTTTTGTGTTATCCTGGGGGGGGGGTGTAAAATGAGGCTGAATCTATTATGGAGATTTAAAATTCACTAAATAGGGAACAGTAAATGATAAAAACCTGTTGATGTGCTTTTCTGTTGTTTGCTGACTAAATAACTGAATAAATGGCTATAATACTTAAAAAAAGTCTTTCTAGAATATGGGAAAGGTTTTTCATATTTAAAAAATGGTTTATAGTTTACAGTTTATATTACAAATTAAATTATTACCAAGCATGATGAATTATTCAAGTATTTAATTTATACATTATCTGACATTATCAGTGTTTCTTTAGTATACAATACTTTTATAGTAACATAATTTCTAAGATGCCAATTAATGAGTTACATTATTTTGCAATGGGTAACAATGGATAAAAATTTATCATTGTGTTTAATTATCTCTTTATTACTCTAGCAACAGGTTGTGTGGAACTGGGGATTGTTCAGAATGGAATAGTCCACTGCAATTCTACTGAACCTAAAATTCTGCCCCTTAAAACATTATGTGAAATATCCTGTGATGAAGGATACGTTATACCTGCAAGTCATAGGTACTTAACACCTGCAATTTGTGAAGAGGATGCTGAATGGAATGTTTCAAATATTCCTCATTGTGTTAAAGGTATTCAAATAGATATTTTATGCCTTTTGTAATAGTTATGCATTCTTTTAAAGTTTCTCAATGTTTAAAATCATTGAAATTTGTATGATTGAATTTACAGTGTAAAATAAATTATGACTAATGATTTAAGATACAATAAAAACGGCCTTTTCGTTAAAGTGAATTATAAGCAAATCCTTTCCAAATTGATTTCTATATAAAAGGTTTAAAATAATAAGTAGCATTTAAATTATGTACTATGTGATTATGTGTTACTTTTGTTACAAACTACATTTTGTTAAGAAAATAAGAAATAAGAAGTGACAGTAATACTATCAATGGTAAATTCTGCCCTGAGAGTTATCTTAACCAAATATTCTGTGCAACATAGTGTCAATTAAGTTAGATGTTACAATATCTGGAGATTTTGTCAAAATTTTGTGTCTGGTTAGCAGTGCTGTTAGTGTAGGTTACGTAAAATCTGCTGATTTTGTATCTGCTGTAAGATAAATGTTTTTTGTAGGTACAAGTAGAAAATCTTTTAAACATTTTTCATTCATACTGAATGAGGAAAAATCGGAAAATGCAGGTATTATACAAAATCAAAATAATAGTTATCGTAAAAACTTAAATTTAACAAATTTTACGTAGCAATTTTTCTAGCTTTTCTATTTCCAAATACATCTATTATATCATCATAATTTAATGGTTTGGGAATATTTTCTTCAGTTGCCATTATAGAAATATTAATCGTTCTTGTCCAACAGAAGAATATACGTTCACTTTCACAATATTCACTTTGCTAAATGAAGAGCAGGAAACTGTTGTATCAGGAATTATTAAGAAAATCCTCAATGTAATATGGATATGCATTGTGCAGTAATTTTTTTCAGTATTTAAAGAACATCCATATCGTTTGTTTTTAAATACTTCCACTGTTTGATATTTGAAATTCTCTACTTCACGCACTAATTCAGAAGTATCTAAATCAGTATTATATTTCAAAGCCAAGCCAGCTGCAAATTGTTTCAGGTGGATTAGTGGCAAAAATTTTAATGCTGGTCCACATAAAAAACTGAAATCTTTTGCAACCTCTTGTAAAGCTGTAAATGTAACATTAAGTTTCCTGAATATTAGATCTATATATAAAGGCATTTTTGTTGTGAATGGTGCTCATCTATCATTTAGCCATCACATCACCCCAGAACGCTGCCCATATTGCACCACAGGTTTAGACTGATATTTCACCTAAAAGAAGGAAAGGAAGAATACACACAAACTGGCAAGCTTTATATGGAATACAAATCTACAACCTGGAATTTGGACTAGCAGTCAGCTTGTGTTAATAAATATGCCATCCATAGCAGCAAAGAGGGTACGACGAAAAATAAACTAAAGACTTTGTTTTGCACCACGGTAACATGCCAACTGTGCATAATAAATTCTGCTGCTAGATTTTTTCTATTGTCACAAATTTTGTGCAAATATAGATAATTTTAGTGAAATGATATATGAAATTGTTGCATTACTCTGTATAACGTAACATTCAGATCTAAAGAGACGATGCTGTGCCGGAAAAACAAGAATTCGTGAGTAAGTCCGTTTAACACTGAGTAAATGGTTATCTCGCTAACTGGATGAGATATCGCCAAGTTGGCGATGGTTTTTAGCAACTAAATTTGTTCGCCAAATTTTGCGAGAAATCGCCAAAAGTCGCCAAACTTGGCCACATTTGGGTCCGGTCCATGTATTACCGTAATAGGTATTGTAATTGAATAACTTGTAAGATTCCAACCTGGGGTACTTTTCAAGTTACGATTAAAATTGAGGAACCTTAAGAACTGATAAGCGAGTAGTCGCTTGAAATCGTGAGACAGAGAATAAAACGGGATAAGGGTTAAATTAACCTTTATTATTCCAAATAATGTTTAACAGATGACTCCTTTCTTGGAGTTTTACAATAAAGCTTCCACTCGAGCTTGAACTCAGGAAACTAAGAACTAAAACTTGACTAAAATAAAAAAAGTATAGCCGAAGCTATCAAGATTTTTACATATTTGTCCCCTTAATTCTAATTAACGTCGAAGCTATCAAGGGCCCAAAGTACGGTCGAGCGTAATAATAGCTTAAGAGAGAGAGTAGCCTGAAAAGGCGAACGTGCGCTAGTCAGAATCTCTGGATCTCTCACGAAGTCAGTAGAACTTCACAGTTAAATACTTCTCCTCATAGGCATTCAAACGCGATTCTGAAAATACGTTCTGGCCGAAAGTTGTAAGCTGAAATTCAGGCAGATAGGAAAGTAACTTTTAATTAAAAATTAACTGTTAGAAAAATTAACATAAACCTTACAAACTATAAAAGATTTCATATGCAACTGTAACCTTCTTCGACTCTCATGTATCTTTCAATAATTTCAAGAAGCAGAAAGTACTAAAAATATCTCGGCGGCCGGTTGGCCGGTTGTTAATTATTGTTCAGCGTGAGTTCGGAGTACTGAGATATCTCCGGGTAAGCTTCGTTCTTTAGATGCTCTTTGAATTGCGTTGTGTTTAACGTTCTTACTAGCTTGAAGTGTAACTTCTAATTGCATTGTGTGGTACTGTGAAAAGTTCTACGACTATTTTTGTGGAAAGTTCCTCTGGACTCTGAAGTGTTTCTTTTGATAAAAATAATTTTTATCAACATATCTGACGTGTGAGCACCCAATCTATTATGAACCTACATGCGTGCAACACTATTCTTTGTCCATCCCGTTTTCTGAGACATATTCCTGTTAATGAATTTCTTTTGAGAAGATGTTGTTTTGTAGAGTCATTAGAATTTTTTGAAGCAGGAGACATGAAAAATGAGAAATGCCTTCGCCAAGACTCGGTCCACGGATCTCTCGAATACGCGACGAGTGTGCTGACCACTACACCACGAGGGCATGCTAAGTAAGCTTTAGAAATACCTTTTATATTCTAGGGGGCGAATGGGTATTAGAAGACCCAATCGCCAAGTCCTGGTGTGGATAATTATCACCCACCACCTTTATTATTTCAGGCGCCACTGTAGAGTCATTAGGATTTTTTTTAAACAGGAGTCATGAAAAATGAGCAATGCCCTCGCCGGGACTCGAACAACGGACCTCTCGAATACGCACCGAATGTTCCGACCACTACACCACGAATGCATGCTAAGAAGGCGGGAGAAATACCTTATGGTTTTACGTAATATCTAAATGTAATATACCTATGTAAAAATTGATTACTTACTTTTAAGTTTTATTGGCTATTTGATTATTCCCGAGCAGTGCTACAGCAATCTACTTTAGAAGGGATGATTTCATAGAGGACTGATAAAGGGAACTGGCCGGTATTCTTGTTACATATGAGAAAAATTATATAGTCAGCAGTTTTCTTACTCAGCGTCAGATACTTTAACCCATATTATTCCGTTATATACAAAACCTTGGTCTTCTGCATATAAATTTATTTTTGTGATGTTTCTAGTGAAATATGGAGGTCAATTCACAATACTTTTGCTACTTTCAACATACATATTTTGAAGGTTAAGAATGTTAATTATACTTTAATTATTAATTTAATAATTTTGCTGTTTTCCTATCAGTAAATAGTTTACTTAAAACGTTATATATTTTATATGCTTTAAGACATTTATGGGCACATGTTCTATTGCTGTTCATGTTTGTCCCAAAAATGTCCCTGTCATAAAATGCCAGTATCTTTTGTTTTTGATATTTTAAATCTAGTGTTTTCTTATTAGATGCAAAAATTTAATAGAATAGTTATTGGGATTTCACAAACATTTAAAACGTTTTACCAAATGGGTAGCAAAAGCTGTATTCTGTTTGATTTGACGAAGTATGATTATGCATGTAACCTGAACATTTTATTTTTAAGCTGAATCACCCATCTTGTACTCGGGATGTAAAGACCAAGTTATTCAGCTAACACAGCTGTCCGCTGTGGACTTTCATTTACCGGAATATAATACTGTCAGAGGAACACCAACCAACATGGCATGCGCACCAGAAAAATTAACTTCTTATGGATTACATAAAGTCTCATGCACTGCGAAAGATGACGAACTTGAAACCTATGCATCATGTTCTTTCGGTGTCACTGTTCTAAAAAACAATGAGGAGGACATAATTAGTACAACTAATATTCCCGATGATGTTACTACTACTCAAATAACCACGACTGAAAAATGTAAGTATGTAATATGTATCTGAATGTCAACAAATGCTATGTTAGAAAATCTTTAATTATTAATTTAATCAAAATTATGTTTGTCTCTAGATAAAATAGGGAATTCATTGATACGTAGCAGGTTACTAGTATACATGAAATAAATTGAGATAGGATATACACCAGACTTTCCAGGTAATTGGATTGCTAAATCTTTGCGTATTGAAAAATCTTAATTAGACTGTTAAATCTTTGCGCATTGAAAAATCTTAGATTGCTAAATCTTTGTGTATTGAAAAATCTTGATTAGATTTGCAAATCTTTGCGTATTGAAAAATCGTAATTAGATTGTTAAGTCTTTGCGTACTGAAAAATCTGCCTAACTGTATAGTCAACACTCGTTATAAGGATCTTACGGAAAGGTAATACAGTTCGAAGTCTGTAATCCGGACTCGTCGGGACTTCTGCGATTCTGGATTAGGGGTTTTTCCGGATTATAGATCATCAATTTAAATCTGGTATGCAGTAATATGGCACGCAGAAATTATACAATTAAAAATATGAAACCGTAATTTATGAAATAAAGAGCAATCATGATCTAAAGGGTACCAAATTTTACAAAAAAAAGCTTAATATTTATTTGTTTACTTTATTAAAAAATTTCTTTCAACGCGCGCATGAGTAATGTATGCGCATTCTTTACGCGCATGCGTAATGTGTGGGCATTCTTTACGCGCATACATAAAGTTGTGGCTTTGAGGTCCGGATTATAGATGATTCCGGATAATAGACGTCCGGACTACGGACTTTGTACTGTACATTATAACGAAGGTCTGCTATAGAGAAAATGTATTTATTACACTCTCATCAGTGCAATTATTTTTTTTTTTTTGATATCCAATAAGTATTCATAATGAATATATTTAAAATAGCGTATAATTTCTAACGTAAAATTTTAATTAAAAATAAATTTAATTTAAAATGTTGGTAAATCAGATAGCAACTAGGACATAATCAAATTAGTAAAGAAAAAAAACTACCTAATTTTTCAGCCTTTAGAATGAAATTCATTTAAATGAACTCAGATATCATACAAAATCCGACATCGAGAATCCACGGGATTTTGGACATTTCCGGATTCTTTGAACATCAGCTTAAATCTAGTAAGATGCCATGTAAGTATGGAAACACTGAGGCTTTAATTATTATTTTAAATTAGAGGAATGAAGTAGGACACACAGTTTTAAAATCCGGAGAAGCATAGATCAGCAAAATTGTAAAACTTAGGAGAGGTACTAGACAGCAAAATTTAGGTTCGTTTAATATTTTTTTTTAATTTAGAGAATTACTGTACAGCAGAATTTACGATATGCATAAACTGCACCAGTTGGCAAAATGCGTGGCTGGGGCCCTGCCTTTCCAAAACCACTCAAGGACTGGAAGTGTTATCCTGGCCAACTTCAACATAAGATCAATTCAAGGTGCTATTATTAATTGCGATGTGACTCCCTATGTAGTAGATATATGGAAGTGACATGCAGGAATGGATCCAGGAAAAAAATCCCATTTATGGCTATCTGCTTCCTTTTGTTGAATATTACATTTTCCTTTCTTAGACTTTTATATTAAAGAGGCAGAGAAACATTTTTTATTATTTTATTTTATTTATATATTTTTGGCTGATGGTACAGATTAATTTAAAACTGTTAGAATTTTCTGAAACAATAAATTCTTTTAGTGGTACGAGAGATTTAGAATGCAGCTAAATATATTATGATGGATTAATTAATGACACGTATGGATAAAGAGGAAATTACCAATCAATTTTGAATCAAGCTGTTCACAATTTCTAATTTTGTATTATAAAGTATTTTCTCCCTTCTTTCTGCGTGCAATTAACTTCTTATGGATTACATAAAGTCTCATGCATTGCGAAAGATGAAGAACTTGGAACCTATGCGTCATGTTCTTTCTGTGTCACTGTTCTTAAGAACAATGAGAAGGACATAATTAGTACATCTAATAAAGCAACTAATAAAGTAATTGGAAGCATATTTGAGGCGTGTTTGAGAGATCCAACTATCGACTCCCGGGAAAGGCACTTCAAAGTTTTCGCCGCTCATGCTCCAAAATAACCTAATGACTCTACAGCATTAAAAAGCTTTTGGTTGAGACAGCCTTATTGGCAAACACAAGGCTCTAAATGCTGTGCAGTTCTATTTCCCCGTAAAGCTAGAAGTCCAAGTATCTCTTTTTCTTGTATTCATGAAAATAAAGGTGCCACCTTATTACGATATTCCAGTACCTTTCCTAACTATGTCAAGATTAATCTATTTCTTTCTCAGATTTCCAGAAGATCTTACCCACCAGAGAAAGATCAGAATGCTTTTGCTATTTACCGTTGCTTTTGCTTTACTCAAACAATGATACAAATTTACTCATGAATGGCACGTCATCTTCTTTTCTGGCAAATTACATTGTAGCAGCATAGAAACTATGCCCATGCATCGCTGGATCAGTGTGTGTCCATGGGAATTAGTTATTGGAGTCCTACATTATTCAAGATTATACTGGCCCAGTATCTTGAATTTGGTATGTGGTGCCATTAGATGATGCCCGTTTGCTAGTCTTATGTTTTCCTTCACTCACGTCGGCTTTTAAACGAAGAGGGTGTAGAAAATATGACAAATCCTTCCATTTACTCAAGAGATGCAGTAATCTGAAGTTTAAATTTGGATCCTGGTGACTCCACAATCAATTCTCTAAGACTCATTGTCCCAAACTCCTAACGTTGTGCAGTTTGTCCCATCATGTTGTCTAGATTTATGTATCACTGCAAAACAGTTATTCATATTAAATCAGAAGTATTCAACCAAGAATGACTAATCGTAAATACGTTTGCTGCTCTAAATCATGGGGGAAATGGAGTTGTGTGAAGAATGACGATGGAGAGGAGTCTTAGCTTACGATACCGTAAATATTGTGCAAGATGTTGCAAGGTATTGTTATTGTGAGTAGCTCATAATATAAATCATCAAAAGTACTGTTATGTTCCTTTTATGCAACATTAACATAGCCAATTGATATGCATCCTCCTTTAACGCTCAAGAAAGAGCATTTGATGTTATTAATTACAGCGATATTTCAGAGGTAGAGCGGTAGACAAAATATTTTTCCTGGCATTGCAAAATGTCCCAGGTACATACGAAGAGCACATCGTTGAAACGAGTTGTTTCGGCTACCAATTTCTTTCCGTTTCTATCGAAAACGAAAAGTTCATTATTACGATGTTACTCAAGTGGATTAGGCTATGGTGAAGTGAATGTTGTTTAATCTGGATCATAGGTTAGATAGTTACGTTGCAGTGAAAAGTATCAAAGGGATATTTTTCTTAGTATTGCCGTTAATTATATTACACCTCGCTTCTGTTATGATGTAGTGTTACACTAAAACCTTTGGAATCGTTAGGAGCTATGTTTTATTTGTACTGATTTCCAATGTATACTCGAATGAATTCTAACAAAACTATGTGAATAAATTTCTGGAATTTGATTCTCGTTAACTCGTGTGAAATATTTTCTTTTTCAGTTTTGGCCTGTAAATCTTTAAAACTGCCATACAGAGGCATTTTAAATTGTTCAAATCATGATGGACCCGAACGTTGTACAGTAGGCTGCGAAAATGGTTATGGCTTTTCTTCATCTTACCGTGCACTGGGAGGAGGATTGATTGAATGCGATGGAACCGATGGACTGTGGGATTTTGAGAGAATATATCACACAACTCAACTTCCAGAATGCCTTGGTGAGAACTATTTTAAGAGTAACTTTTTCAAAATTTTGTAGGAATTTTTGATAAATATTTACTCCATATATGAATTTTTTTGGTAAATGTGTTTTAATCCTTAGGTCATCTTCCTAACACATCTATCAAAGTAACACTGAGCTTTAGAGCTTCTGTTGAAGAATGTTCCAGTGACAGAGAAATCCACTACCACCAGACAGTTAAGCACTTGCTTTTGAATTTGAACAGAGAAATGTGCAGTTTAGTTGATTGTGAAAGTTCCATTCAAGTTAACTGTTCACAAACCTATACGGGAAACAGATTTATTCTAAATACCATTTGGACGCTTCTGGTAAGGAAGAATATTAATTTTTCTGAAACTTTTCTTCTTTCTTGTTTCACCGTCTGATACTTTTGCATCTAATATTTACAAATATTATCAAATAAAAAATTACTTTTTTTTTTTGGTAGGCTGTGTTTCATCCGGAGGATTATGAGGATTCACTTGAAGTGCCAGATGCAGAATTGCAGTTAGAAGCCATTCTTGAAACTACGCGTAAAGCAATCAGAAAAGATGAAGTGTTCAGACAAAATCTCTCGCAAGTTGGCATTCAGTTACAGCAGGATTCTTTCAACAGAAGTTTCATTGACCTCGTCTGCCAAGCAAACGGTTATGCTGCTGATCCAAGAACGTATAAATGCAGTAAGAATTAGAAAATTACTTTAAATTTTAGAAATGTCTCTATATAAAATTAAGTGAGACAATTTTAATAGATAATGTACCTTTCAGATTTCCTTTTTCTTTAAATAAATTTAATAAAAATCATTTAAAAATTTAATAAATATTTTTTTATTGTGTACTTTTTTCCTTTTGCGTTTTTATTTTTCGAGATTTTGTGCTACTACGAATTCTTATTTTAATTACGATATATTTGAATTTTGTGTTAAATCTCTTATACACGATTGCTGATTTTAATATTGTTAAAGAAATAACCTTGCCTTTGGCTCCAATTTACTTTCAACTTTAGAATCTTAAAGTCTCTCTCTCTATACATATATTTATTATTCTCTCACATGGATCCATTGCTCCATATCTGTTCACCATATATTATTTCACTAATTAGAGAATTTCTGTTCCATAGAATAAATTTACCTCTGGAATGATATTCGGTGATTAATATTAAATGCATTTAAAATTTTTCATTTATATGAATTTTTCATTAGTCACTACCTATATAATGAAATATAAAAGAAGTCAGATATAATCAAAAACGTTTACTTATTATAAGTAGCAGAACTACATTTAAGAAACACGAACTGTTTTAAAAGTCGATACCACTCTAATAATTTAAATAATTTTAAAAATTAAATATTATTATTGAAATAAAATGAAAATCTGAAAGGTTTCAAATTTTAAATTACGTCCAAAAGGGCTTTTTTTTAACATTTTGTGCGTTGCATTTATTTATTAAATATCACGTTATTCGCACTTAAACCATAAAATTCAGTTCAACTGCAATATCGAAAAATAGTTTTAAATTGAGCGTATATTTAGAATTTCCGATACACAGTCCCGCGCTCTGTGGAGATAAAAATGTTTTTCGACAATGTTGACATGCTCGTTTTAAAATCCTTGAGCTTGTTAATAAGTCTTTAAAGGTTACAAATATGGAGTCGATAATAAAAAAATTCCCAATTTCAAATGGTCCATGCCCATATTCGCAGTAGACTTACGTCATTCAAAATTCGATGGCTCTATGTACCGTTGTTTTATCACAATGCGAGAAATATATATACATTTATGCAGAATTTTCATTACATTTCTTCAAATATAATGCACGACTCTAACATTTGGTGGCAACAGTTCGAAAAGTGAAACGGACATTTATAGCGAACCATTGGAAAATCGCAAAACGAAAACAATAGTCAGGGACAAAACCCCTTTGGACTAATAAAACATTATTGTCCAAAATTGAAAAATGCCATAATTTAAGCTATTTTTGTTTGAAAATCGGGTACCACTCTAATAGTCTAATAGTTTGAATAAAATGTTTTTGCCCTAAATCAGAAAGTTAACTAATTTAGACTATCTGTTTCTATAAATTTCTGAACCGCATGAGCGTTGGTTAATAATCTGTTCATAAAGAATCTATTGATATAGGGATCGTGCTGAAGTTTCTGAAAAGAGAGAGAAGAATTGAATGGTTTTTCCTTTCCTTTTTTCTTCCCTTTCGCACGAGGAACTAATTTTTTCTTTTGTTTGGTCCTAGTGGAATGTGCAAGCGGTACCATGGAGGTTAATGGTCAATGCAAACCCTGCCCGCAAGGCACTTTTCAGCTAAGGGCTGGGCAAACTAACTGTGAACGCTGCCCAAGTGATTCTGTGAAATTTTTCAGAGGGAATGTTCCAGCCACTTGTGGAGGTAGGTAATTTCATTTCTCAAAAAGCCAACTTCAGAATGAAATATGCCATATTAATGCAATCTTAAAGATTTATTTACCCAGTGTTATTTAAAAGTATTTAAGTTTTAAATTTCATAACAGTAAATACACATTATACGATAGAATATACTCGAGAAGAGATGAAGATTTTGGTTCAGTTCATTAGTTTTTTTAAGGGAAAGATGAAGATGTTTTCTTCAAGAATATGCTTTCTCCAAGAATAGACTTCCAGATCCTCCATTTGTTATCCATTACACCAGGAAAATATGCAGAAAGATATGCGATAATTATTGTAATGGGATTCCTACAGTGTAATTAAGAGACTACTGTTTCTTGTTCTTGTTAAATATGGATAGTATCGTTCCAATTGTAATGTGCATTTAAATGAGGGAAAAAACAGCTAGGGGTATCAGTTTCGTAAACAATAAAATACTTAGCGTGTTTTTAAAGGAAGTGCCGTTTTCTTGTTTACACTAATACGTGTCGCGCGGGTGGCAACGAGTGCCTGCGTCGTGTCCCGGCATCACTTGGCAACAGTTGCATTCAGTTGCAGCTGTGCAGGTAATCTGTATGGTCTGTTCGGTGTCTTTAAAATGTTCAAGATTATCGAATCGCCCACCTCGTGTAGGGTACCGATTAACCGTAAATGTAGAGGGATGGCGCCCACGCCCTCCGTTACTACTGTTACTGTCAGATTTATGAAGTTTACGGAACTACAGCCAGCCGTGAGTGAAGTGCATAAGTGGGTCAGAGATTTCAAGCCTAGTCGAGACAACGTCTATGATGAGTCCTATTCCCGTCGCCCATCAGTGATCACAGACGATATGGTGATAATTCCTGAGAACAGACGCATCACCATAAGCATTCTTTCAAACGAATTTCCTAAAGGGTCTAGTCTAAGTGAAAACGGCCGTCACTTTTTGGTTATCGGAGCAGGTGGCAAGTTTTTATGAAGAGGGTATTCAAAATATAGTTATAAGGTATGATAAGTGATTAAACAAACTTGACAACTATGTTGAAAAATAGAAAAACGCATGTAGAATCTGGAAATAAATTTGGTTTTTGAAATTTTTTTTCGTTTGGATTTTAGTTTCAAACGGCACTTACTTAAAATCATCCCTCTATTTATTTTCTATTTGAAATCTAAAGTTAGGCACTCGTAAAAGATATTTATTGGTTGTGCTTTGTAATTCAAGCATACTGACAGCTAAATATTAAATTCTATACTGACATTCCTCTCAAATATTTCTATTCTGTTTAATTAATTGCCTTACTTTATTGCGAGTGCTGTTCAACAAAGTTTGATGCAACATTCACCCTTAGTGTGTCATACACTTTAGTTGAAGTATTATCTTAGCATCTGTATTTGGGAGTGAGGTCAGAACATGTGGTATTTATTCATTATTTTGACCAAATTTCGATTTTCTGGCAAGCTTTAACATTTTTTACAACGTTAAGACCTCTTGTACTGGAATATGATCCTCAATAAGTAATTTTTGTGCAAATACGAATTTAAAAAAAAGTTATTTGTAAGTTTTCAGTTACGAGATCATCCTATGCTTCGAAATGGTGATCCACATTCGAAAATGTTCTAAACTGTTGAACCACCAATGACGTTGTAAATGTCCTAAGCGAAGCATTGTTTGAGGTTCTGGAACTATTTTGATGAGATGAATACAAATAAGTGTAGAGGTGAAGCCTAAGTCTGTGACACACTGCTTAAAACTGTTTTTTAGTTTTAACAACTTTGCAGTTTTGTTCATTCCTACCAGTTCTTTCCACAACTAGAACTCTGGAGTGTCATGTACTCTTTTATACAGTAAATAGTGCATCGTTTTTTGTTGAGCAGCATGCATAATACTGTAAATAAGTATGCATGTAGCGTAAACTGAACATTCCCTTTGCATTCAATGCTGATTTAATTTTAAATAATGTTTTTTTATAGGCTAGGACGATAATCACAAGAGGAATCGGAAAATTTGTGTTCACCTCAGCATTGTACCATAAGATCCAGAGTACTTCTGCTGGTGACGATGACAATGTATTCTCGATTACTTTCTTTTAAATATGAGTTCCTAATTAAAGCAAATTTTTATAATTATGTTTTACTAATAAGAAATATTTTCTTTTTAATTTGTAACATTGGTTTGTGTTTATTAGTACATTTATAAAAATTTTTAACATTCCTTGGCTCAAATTGCTTATTTAATAGCGAACAAAATTTTCTATTAACGTTTTTTGTGATTTTTTATTTACAAAATGCCTAGTTTATGCCTTTAGTTAAGAGAGATATTTCTTATTTCATACTTTGATTTCATTTTAAAAGTATGTATTAAAATATATCTTTCTCACATGAGTATATATGACCGTGATGACTTTGTGTAGCTTAGCTAGCTAAAGGCTTCTAAAGCTAAAGGCTAAATAAAGCTTCAAACAAATATTTCAGACAAATTTTTGAAAACAGTTTTGTTACATTTATTAAATTTTATGCATAGCTTGTATAAATTCTTTTTTTAATATGTTCAAAAATAATTCAAATTTTGACAATATCATATAATTTGCAAATAGAAATGCATTATGTTCGTTAATGTTGTTTTATACCAAGCCATTTTTAACGTCTTTAGTTTGACTGAATACTCAGCTGAATTATACCTCACTGTATTTATTCAAACATCATCACTTTTTTTCATTATGATTTGAGAATAAAATGATGAAGTCATTCACTGTGTGTTGCTATATAAATTGTGAAAACTGGTAAATAAAATATTCATGTTTTGATTTACGTGTATGTTAATTTACCTCTCAAAACTTAAAAGTATTATGAAGTTGAATTACTATTAAAATATGTACAACTGCAATACTAGCTCTAATAATTTACTCGGATAATGTGACTTTACTTGGATAATGTGTCTGCCATACGAAAATTGCTAATCGATGATAATCTCTACTCTTACCAAATGATACAGAAAAATCTTAACATTTGATCCGCTGCCATGCATAAAATTATTCATGAAGAATTTCCTATTGAAAAAAAAAAAAAAAAAAAAAAAAAAAAAAAAAAAAACTTGTTGGCCGTTGGATTCTCCATACTGTAACTATGGAACTACTGTTTCATAGTTACAGTATGGGGAACTATGAAACATGTTTTCAACATACAGTAGCTTTGTTTTTGTGATTAGTTAATTACCAAATCGAAGAGCGTCTCAGAATCGGTAAAGAAACCCTTAAATTACTTTTAAAGATGGTGGTCACAACGTTATTTCTAAAATCGTAACAGTGAAACGTTCATACCGGTTTTTAACGTTCTAACACTTCAAGAAAGTGAAGTATATGTCTTTGAAGATGATCCCAGGTCAACAATAGTGAAAAGACAACTTGGCATGAAAAACGAAATGCATGCCGTTTTCCTCAGAAGTATAGGACTGGTCGAACCTATCAAGATGTAAGAACAGAAGACAATTCCCAGCTAAGTGGTCCCCACTCAGTGGTATACCAACACCACTTCCAGAAATTCTTCAGGATGTGAATGTTAGAAGACTCATGCTGCCACCACGACGATGCATCCTCTCATTCAGCAAGATAGACAGCTGAGTTTCTTGAACAAAAACATATCATAGGCATAGAACATCCAACCTGTTCACCGGATATAGCTATGTGTGACGCTTGGCTATCTTTTAATCTAAACGAAAACTTATGTGGACGCCTTTTTCATTCGGAAAATGAAATTGATGCGGCTATAAATGCACGTTTTCGATCGATTCCAAGAAATGAGTGTCTCAAGGCATTTAATCTTCGAAAACTCCGCCTACAGAAATGCACTGATGCTGGAGGAGCCACTCTGAAGACTATTAAAGTTTCCTAAGTATAGCTTTAAAAACCTATGTCCATATTCAAAATTTCAATCTGACCCGTAGCTCGGCCACATTGGATCATCATCAGGAAACATCGTACGATCTGCAAAGAAACTTTAGCCTTCCATTCCCCGTCGTGATCACCTGCTCTCTCCAACAGACTTTTTTCTGTTCTCGCATCTGAGATGATCCCTAAAAGAGAACGATTTTGGGGATATTCTAGATATTCAAAATAACGTAATGAAAGTCTCCCATACGATACTGAAGGAGGATTTCGCCCCCCCGCCAGTTTTCCTGAACTGTACAGTCATTATAAAAATGCCTTGCAAATGACAAACATTCCTTCGAAGGAATATATTTTATTCCTGATTTAGGAGAGGGTCTTTCGCTTATGAACACATTCACAGAAATTTATTAGCATGTCTTGTAAGCAAGGTATTTTGAAAGTTGTAGGAATTTAGGTATTTTTTATTTCGTCAGTTTTTGTTACTATTACAATACAGTTTCTCTGCACAATCCATATTTAACTGAATACATTTATCCCAGCGGAAAAAAAACCTTTTCTAAGCCGCCCTCAAACACCGCTTTCCGTGCTTCCTCTCTGCCTTCTTATGGCAAGGTAAAAATATCAAACCTCACATCCCGTAAAGGTGTATTCAAATGTGGGAACAGCTTTCTCTTCGCAGACGTTGAATAATTTCTTCACTTTTCAATTCTTTCCATGAATAGGAAAGGATTGCTCTTCGCATCTTCCATAGTTGCGAAAATAGTGCTACAGAAATGCTCCCCTATCATTCCAAACATCCGGTTTGGTTTATTTGATTATTGAAAAGCACTCGAGCGCTACTTACCTAATTTTATGAATATCTTTGTGGAGGACTGTCTGACAAAAACTGGCTTGTATACACGTTGGACGTAGGGAAAATCACAAAAACGCCCACGCAGGCAGCCCGTTTGCGAGATTCGAACCTTGGACAGAACTACCAGTATTCAGCGACTTTACCTCTCGGCCGCTGATGGGCCTCAACCGAATCGGATTGAATAATGTTGCCCGGAATAGCAGACACTTCAGCAAAAATCTTGGTTTCAAATCTCGGATGCGTGATATTGTGGATTGGATTAAGAACTGCAAATGAAATTATAAAATCTGTTTTAAAGCTATTCAAAGCAAACAAAATATGATGTTCATCGCCTAAAGCCGAACTCGGCGTAAGACTGTGTACAGATTGCTGTATGAAAATTATTTGTAGGTGAAAAATATATAGTTACGATTGACGAGGCTTGGGCATCTGCGATAGAAACTGCGATAAAAAAAGTTTGATTTACTACCTTATCTAACTGCGATAGAAAAAGTTTGATTTACTCCCGAAAAAGAGGAGGAAAAGGTCTAATATGATAGTACAGAGAAAACAAAGAAAGATTTCTAAACGTTTTATGGTTATCACAGAATTCTCTTATTAAGGAAAACTTAAAATAAGGAAAGTAGAAAAAAAAGGTCAGAATGTATTCGGATTACTATCTGAGATATATATTAACACCTATTTTGAAAGACGAAATTCCATCTTTTTATCCAAACAATCTTCACCGTGTTATGTTCCATCGGGATAAGGCTCCAAACCATACCTCTAAATATTTTTTTTTTTTTTTTAAAATGAGAAATGAAACCGGAATGGTAGCTAATTACTCTTTAAATGCATCCCACCCAAGTCCCCTGATGTGTTTCCTGTGTATTACTGTGCATCTGGACTTTTAAAACAAGTTCTGTATAAGCGGCATCGCAAAATATTGGACGGCCTCTGAAAGATTGTGAAGGGGCAATGGAATAAAATCAATCTTGATGTTTTAAGAAAAGACTTTTATCTTGAAAATCAAGATGTAATATGACACTTCAACAAAAAGATGATATAAAGGTTTATGACTGAACATGTTAGAAAATGAAATTCTAAGCTTTGTTTATATATAAATCTTTTCAAAGTCGTTACAAAAATGTGTGAACAACCCTCTGCAATGTGTAGGTACGAGCAATTGGCTAAGGAAAGAAATATATTTACTGTAAAAGGTTTTCACGGCATTGCAAGCGTACCGGCAGGAAAACTATCCATCGCTAAACTAACTACGCTTGTGGATATAATTCATTAAGTCATTATATACATGCGTGGTTGATTAATTATACGATTCTCTGTTTAGAATTAATTTTCGATTTATACGTTTAAATTTTATTACGTTAAAATATATTAAATTACTATATTTATTAGGTTAAAATTCACGTTATTTCGAGTTATACGTTTTAGAATTAATTTTCGATTTATAAGTTTAATTCTCCTGAGCTGCAGCATATTTTAAAGACACGTTTTATAACTTTAAAAGTTGTATATTTCATAAAATTAATATCAGCAATTATGCTTTGAATTTGAATGCATGAATATCTAGAAAGTTTTAAAAATATACTATTAATAAAATAGTTTTAAACAGAAAATGAAAACTGTCGTAAAAAAAAAAAAACTATCACAGAAGGGAAATTTTATTTCTTGACAGGATGAAATTAAAAATGCTGATCAGCAACTAAATTCATCGCTAATAACAATTAGGTAAATATTAAATATATGTATCAAATTTTTAGAGCAAAACCTGAAGACAGCACAATTAAAATAATGAAATAAAAATTTATTTATATGTAAACAATTTGATATTGAATACACACAATTTTTATATCGGGACAATAAAAAACAAATTAACACATTCATGACATGTAAACAATGAATAAATCATGCTGCAACATTCAATATTTCTGAAACAAAATCGATTGTATATTTAACTATTGCATATAATTGCATAAAAATTCAGCTATAGGACTGCAGAAAATAATTTAAAATAATTTATTCTACTATGATTCAATCAATAAGGACACTTGCCCACTGATGTTTTTTCATTTCATAGATCACAAATTGTAAGACAAAAATATCAGAACCTGCATATAATCCATACTAAGCAGGTTAATTTACGGATATGAAATAATATACGGATAATTTACGAAATAATATACGGATTTCTAGTAACACAGTTCAGTTTGTACCTGCTGTGAAAAAAAATTAATAACGACATTGAAAAATTAGCTTATAAGTGAAACGACGACGTACATCGGACTGAAAGACTTATCAGGAAATCGACTAGGGACAGACATACTGCGAGGAAAAAATCTGAAAGGTATCAGATTTTAAATTACGTCCAAAGGAAGTTTTTTAACATTTTGTGTGTTTCCTTTATTTATATCATGTTCTTTGCACTTAACCAAAAAATTCAGTTCAATAGGAATGTTGCAAAATAATCTTTAAATGAGCATATGTTTAGAATTTCCGATACACCATAATTCCGTGCGCTGGAGATAACAAGTCCTCCCCCCCTAGCTTGCTTGCTTTTAAATCGTTGAGTTTGTTACTCAAAAATTCGCTAAAGGTTTACAAAATAGGAAATCGATAATAAAACAAATACCAAATTTCAATTTTGGTTTTCCACAGGCCCATACTCGTAAGAGGATTCAAAATTCGTACCGTTGTTTTATCCCAATGCGAGAAACATACATACATTTATACAGATTCTTCAAATATAATACAATGCGATAGTATTTGGTGGCAACATTTTGAAAAGTGATTTACCGTTTATAGTGATTCAACGCAAAATTACAAAACGAAAACAAAAGGTGTTCAGGGACAAAGCCCCTTTGAACTAAAAAATATAAAATGAAAATCTGAAGCGTTTCAAATTTTAAATTACGTCCAAATGGGTGTTGTTTTAACATTTTGTGTGTTACCTTTATTTATTAAATATCACGTTAATCGCACTTAAACCATAAAATTCAGTTCAAGAGCAATATCGCAAAACAGTTTTAAATTGAGTATATCTTTAGAATTTCCGATACAGAGTCCCG